TTGTATTTTTTATCAGTTTTACATATGTAATATATCAAATTAATCTTCTTTTGATGAACTTCGATTTAACATCCATATTGTATGTATAAAAAAAATAATTTATATTTATTTATAAAAATAATAAAATTATTGTTAATATTAATTAGAAAAATAAAATTATTTATCAACTAATATATTTATATTTCAAGTAGTTATATGATATAAATTATAAAAACTATTATAATATAACACATGTAAGTCAAAAGTAACACTATCATTCTAAAATATATAGTAATATATATTTTTTTTTTAAAAAAAAAGTAAACTAAATTTAATATAGTTTTTTCATTAATTTTAAAATTTAAAAATAATTTTTCAACAAGCACCCGTGTAATACACGGGTGTTGTACTAGTAATTAATATTTAATTACCTCATTTTTTTTTTTTGGTATAAAGAATGAGGCCGAAGCCTAGGACCATCAAACAGTTACGCTCCGTGGGTAAGCCATTCCAACAAGGTCGTGCTGTAACCACGGTCGTACTACTGATGGTGGGTCGAGTAACCTCTGACAACCACTAGGGCAATGATGAGCTAGTGTCGCCAAACAATCCGCTGCAAAGTTAGCCTCTCTATAATAATGAGTCACAGTCACATCCGAGTCCCGACGAAGCAGGTCACGTATGGCGTGGACAATGCTACCATGCACTCCAAGGTTTTCTGTAAGTCCTTCTGTTGTCATCGCCACCACACTCTTATTGTCAACCTCCACCGTAGCCTTGCGATACTCCAAGTCCCAGGCAAGCAATAAACCTTGGAAGAGTCCCACAGCTCTGGGTCTGTGATAGAGCAGTATCCAATATTCATTACAAACCCACCAAGCCAATGACCTTCGGTATCACGAATCAAGCCCCCAGCGGATGTCATCCCAGACGAAGCCAGAAATGATCCATCCGTATTAATTTTTAATTACCTTATTAAACAAAAAGAAAAACGAAATATTGCAAACGCCACAAAACAAGCGGTAATAGGGAAAGCTGAGCCTGAGGCCGATATTGTTTTGTACCGCGAAACATTTCTCACAACACTCAACACTGGAAGCTTCTCTTTCAAACCAATGGCCACAATCTCAGCCGTCGGCTCTCTTCCTAAGCATTTTCCGGCCAAATTCCCCACCGCAGGCCCACCGTCGTCGCCATTATTTCTAAACCTGAACATTTCGTGTCGATGTTCCTTCGAATCATCAAGCTCGTTTGGTCAGTCCCATTTCCTTTCCTTACCTGATTCTCCATCTTTTCCTGTATGTTATTCCTATTTATCTTTCGTTGTATTGTGTGCGAATTCTTTTACCATATTTGAAGAACCAAAGGGATTCTCGGAGCGTAGGCCGCCTATTGGTCGGAGAGAGGTTGTGATGTCTTCGATTGGATTAATGGCAGCGGCAAATTTCGATGCTCCTAGGGGTGAAGTTTCCACTGCGTCTGAATACGCCGACAGTAATTTTCGTTGCTTTTTTTTTTTTTTTTGTTCCAATTTATGGCGTTGTGCATAGCAGTATTGTTTTTTATACAGTGTGTACTTTGTGTTTGTGTGCGGTAATTGTGCAAGTTGGCTTGTTCATAATTTGTTAGAGTTAAGAGTTTTTTGTTAAAGTTTTGATCAAGGTCTTGCAGAAACTATATGTTGCCTTTTGGTAGAATAATTATGCATTGGGTTTTACTTGATTAAGGAGAAGAGTGAATGGGACAAGAAAAATTTGCTCGTTCCCAATAGCATTAAATGGTCGTGGTCGATACTCGGTAGGCATCACATCGTATTTTATCCCAAAAAGAGTGTGTTTTCGGTTCTTTGAATAGCATCTCATTATTATGTGCAGCCTTGATAGCTTTGGAGACTAATTGTAGGCTCACTGTTTGAGCATATAGTGCCTGCATTACGGGGAAAGGATTATGGGAAGTCAAAGATGCGGTACCCTGATTACACTGAAACAATTTCAGGTCTTCAATATAAGGTCATATTCCTGAAGCATATTTTCATGCATAATTTTTGCTTCTTTCAGCATTTTAAGCTGAGTTCTAATTTCAAACATGTCAATCTAGCAGGATTTACGGATGGGTAATGGCCCCACTCCGAAGATAGGTGAAACTGTAGTGGTAAGTCTTTATCAACATGGTTTGAGTAGAGTTTCATTGCATTAGAACTGAAGGATTTGGACTGCAGTTGAGAAAGACAAAATGATAAAGAGATAAATAAGCAAGAAAGATTCATATTACTCATTGCGACATAAAACTTAATTAATGCATGCAAGGTTGACTGGGATGGCTACACTATCGGATATTACGGCAGGATATTTGAAGCTCGTAACAAAACAAAGGGTGGCTCCTTTGAGGTACTTCCATTTTATGTCTATATATAAGGGTGTTCCTATGCTTTTAACGTTTTGCTTTCCATATTTTTATCTGTGCTCCGAGTTGTTTTTCCTTATGCAGGGAGATGACAAAGACTTCTACAAATTCCGATTAGGTTCGCAAGAGGTACAATATCACTCAACACAAATTTATCATTGCATGGAAGTCAGATTTTATGGATGGTTTTCCATGATGATGCGCTCATATAAATCATCCAGAACGTTCTTTTTTCTAAATCGTTCAAGCATATTTATTTTATTTTCTATGACTTCAAATTTAATATATGTTTATTAGGAAGCATGTGTTGTTAGCCTGGTACACACTTTCTGTAGAAATATGTTCTTAGCATGAAATTTTATAAAATTAATGTCCATCTGCTTGTAATTATTCATGATAAGTAGGAAATACATGTGATCTGGGCGCTGGTATAGTTCACATTTTCATCATACAATGTCCTTCGGGTTGGTACCTAGGTTTAGTCCAGCATAATTTTTCTTGTTGAAGCTTGCGTAGTTTTCTTTTTATGGCCTTCTGGCCTCATATTAACTCCTCCAAATCAAAATTCTGCTGCTCATGTCAAACAGAAGTGAAAGCTTCTTAGCTTCATGCTATAATACACTGTGGATGTTTAAAATGGAATTGTTTGTATATATCTTCAGGTTATTCCTGCATTCGAAGAAGCAGTGTCAGGCATGGCTCTTGGTGGTATACGAAGGTGATATTCTCCTTTTTTTTTTTTTT